GGAGGAAAGTTTTTAGCTTATAAAGCAGACCATCGTGCCACACGCGGTCAAACGCCTGCGCAACATCTAGGAAAACTCAAGGGCAGTATTTTTTGTTTTCAAGTGAGGATGCTATTTTGTCAGTGAGACAGTGGATTTGGTGTATTGTTGAATGATTAGTTCTGAAACCAAATTGTGAGTGAGGTATTATATTATGTGATTTTATTATTGGTCTTATTCTTTTCAAGATAATTTTCTCAAATATTTTTCCCAAAGTAGGAAGAAGACTGATTGGCCTATAAGAAGATGTTAAATTTTTTGGTTTATAAGTTTTGTTTGTGTACGAAGATAACTATGGAAAACTTCCATGTTAATTTAAATTTTAAATGTTAAAATGTGCATGAAATTAATATGTATTGATTACTTTAAAAAAAAATTATAATTAATAAACAATTGATTCATACATTTAGAGGTAAATAAATAATTTAGACAATTTTAACAGATTTACATATAACGACACAGTTCTGGAACAAGTTGAAACAATTATTTGTAGCTAAAATTTGCTGTATGTGTAAATAATATAATAAATACATATTTATATTTTTAAATTAGGAAACACAAGACATTAGCTTTGTTGAAAAATGGGGTTCCAATTGGTGGTATATGTTTTTGTCCATTTGTCTCTCAAGGTTTTACAGAAATAGTATTCTGTGCAGTCAAAGTTGATCAACAAGAAAATGGATATGGAACACACCTAATGAATCATTTAAAGGATTATCATATTCAGCATAATATACTTAATTTTCTTACTTACGCTGATCAACTTGCAATTGGTATGGCTTGTGATAAATAATATCAGATTATTATAACTTATTCAAAATATTTTCACAGAATATTTTAAGAAACAAGGGTTTAGCCAAGATGTAAGAGCATCGAATGAAACACATCAAAAATATATTAAACATTATCAAGGTGCAATATTGATGCACTGTGAACTAAATCCAAAAATTGTTTATACTCAATTAACATCAGTGATACGTTTACAAAAAGAAGTAAATAAATTACATTTATATTTATTTTATTAATAACTAATAAGCAAACACTTTTATAGATAGTTAAGAATCTTGTGGAAGAAAAAAAAATGAAAATGGAAAAGCATAACCCAGGCCTAACATGTTTCTTAGATGGTGTACGCATGATCCCGATTGAATCAATACCTGGTGTTTTGGATGCTGGTTTGACACCATCAACTCGGATTACAAGAAATAGTCGTGTCAAGGAAGAAACAACTGATATTGACGTCTTAACTAAACAGCTAAAAAAAGTTTTGCAATTTGTAAGTATATAAAAAGAAAAAATATTAATAGGATGACAGGGCAAAACTTGTTTTATTTCAGACTCATGCTCAACATAGACAAAACCCATTCAAATAAAATTGTTTTGTATAGTAGTTGAATAATATTAAAGTAAACTAAATGTACCAATTACACAAGTTATATCGAATAATATTTTTGAGGGTTTGACATATCGGTTTATTATTATTTGACCAAAAAAAAAATTTTATTGAAATGGATATTACATTATTTTGAGACAATACATAAATGAATGATACATATTATGTCAAAATCTTAAAAAATTTTATAATTTTTGTGGCAAGTCATTTTACTGTAAAATTACTCGAAAAAATGTATTTGTATGGTATGTTGTTGTACGTTGACCAGTAAGAGAAAACAAATAGTGCGCTCTTTTAAAATTGTGTTATTAATAGATTGTTAATCATAAAATATTATTCTTTAAAATCTAAGTTTATGCAAACATATTTTTATGCATAAAAATATAATAATAATAATAGTTTATTTATCCCTTTTTATTTATAGTGGATATCAATTATTTTTCTATTTAGTTTACTTTATAGTTTATACCGTTAATTTTTTTTTTAGATAAAAAGCAACGAATTTTCTGAACCATTTTTGAATCCAGTTGATAAAGATGTTCCTGGTTACTATGATATTATAAAGTATCCTATGGGTAAGTATAAAAAAAAAAAAAAAAAAAAAATAGAATTCTATTCTCTGAATTATTGAAAATTATTTAATTATATAACAGTGATTCATTATTTAAGTGATACAATAAATTAAAATAATAATTGTAATAATGTAAGAGTACATTTTAAAATGTACAACAATTCATCATTGTTAATATATGTGTCAGTTTAAAACTATTTTTACCAATTCACTATTTTATTAAAAAAAATAAACTATCAATATATTAATGCAAACGAACAATGCATAATTATTAATTTTACTTATCAAAATAATACGTCACTGTTGCTCTATGAGGATTTAATTTTCTTATTAACTTAAATTAATCAGTCTATTTGATTTACAGACTTGAGTACAATTGGTAAGCGATTGGCTTCAGGCTACTATTCGTCTAGAAAATTGTTTATTGCTGATATGAGACGAATTGTTACCAATTGTAAAACATTTAATCCAGAGCATTCATATTGGGCAAACTGTGCAGTTGAATTGGAAAAACTTTTCCAGATTAAAATGAAAGAAATGGAACTCTGGGATAACTAAATTTAGTAATTTTTGTATTTCGTATAACAAATATGCGCAAAGGTTAAACTTTTTTTTAAAAGATTGTTTATAAAAATTCATTATACACAAAGGTTATTTTTTATTTTGATGTTCAGGTATAATATGTTATTATATGATTCTACTTATAACTAATTATTATAACTACTTATATTAATTACTGAAACAATTATTTTTATATAATATGGGATACTGTGACATGTTTTGTACGACAGATGTCTGACAACCAATATGTATCTTTGTTTATTATAATATAAGTTAACACTATGTAAATTAAAATTTTAAGGTGTTAGATTTAGGAAATATTCTATTTATTCATCATTAGTGATGAGTCACTGTGTTTGTAGTGACTGATCATTAGTGTGCGTGAGTTCCCTGATCGGTTTATGTAAACATAAATAAGCTACTGTTAAGATTTTTAGAAATCAATTACGTGCATACGTGCAGTCACACGTCAACATATTTTGCGATCAACAAAGTTTCGACATAAAAGTATAATCTTATTGTTTTATACACAACCAATAAAAATTCAATACCATTTACTTATAGACTGTTGTAGCTCTAGGTTGGTACATTGGAGTGTCAAAAGTAAAAATTCCCATCAGAAAAAAATGTAGGAAAAATTGGGATTTATACACAAAACCAGTTTTTGACAAAATTGGTGTAACTCAAAAACTAATACCGTAGATCCTTAAAATTTTTACCAAATAATTATGACTATTTTCCATACATGATAAAATTTTAAAATATTTAGACTCTTTTTGAGTTATTTACAGGCATGACAAAATGTCTCTTTTGTAACAATTGTCGATAAAAAAAATGTTCGCACTGTCAAAATACTTTTTTTTTTAAGCTACTTTTTTGTATTGAACAAAATTTTATATACGATCTGTAATTACAATATATTATATTACAATGAGTAAATTTGATGAGGATGATTTATGGGAGGGGGGAAGTCACCCATTGGTGACACCCCATTAACCAAAATACTTGAAAATTTAATACAATATTCCTCATAAGTTGTTTAATTATACTTACTAGTTGTTGACTGTTGTATTAAATATTCAAGTTTTTTGCTCGAGCTTCATAAATGTATTAGATATATAATTTATTTATATAAGTGTAAATTAAATTGATACTCATAGGTATAATATAATATACTCATAATCTATCCGGCGGTGTACGCATGACGCATGTACAAATATGTCTGGTGCATGGTATAAATGTCTTAAGTCAAAAATTTTAGCTTATTATATTATTAGAATCAAACATTTTTATATTTTGTTGGTACAGATCACGTAAGTCAAAACTATAACTCACTATTAGTGAAATTTGTTTTGGTCTGAACATATTAAGTCAAATTATATTATATCGGGTACAAAAACACGTCTGTCTAGTTAAGATTTGAGAATCTGACAGAAATAACTGTAAAATGGTCTTAATATCTTAAGTCAAGTTAGTGATGATTTTAAATGCATGCCTTGATAGCATAAGTCATATAAAATAAAAACCAACTATCTTAAGACACTATAAAATAATGAAGAACTGTTCTGCATAATAGTTAACCTAAAAGTTGATACATTGAATTAATTTTCAGCCCAGACATTATTGTCAACAATTTTTCAATGTTTTGTTTAATCTTCCTGAAAACTAGTCGTTTTTGACTTAATATATACTTTATACTATGTACCGAAGATGTTTAACAATAAATGAAGTGTAGTAATTTATATGTGGTGTATTCAATTTTTATTTACGTAGGACCTCGTATTGTTTTAGCGCTAATAAACAGAGTAAAATTACATTAAATTTTGCCATAGTAATGCTGCTCCACGTTTGTGCGGTGGAGACAGCTGCAAGAATTGCTGCTACCATACATTTTTTCCAATGTTTAACTTTTAGATAACAATTTTAAAGATTTTCAGAATTTGACAGTCTATAGTTTCTAATGTTATAAATCATTGTCCTCTTATAAATTGTATTATGTGGACCACATACGACTACGGTTGATGGATTCTACAGAATTTAGATTATATAATTTATGCATTTTATGTACAATTTTTGTATGTCATTAAAGTTAAAAATCTTAGTACTGAATTTAATAACATTGAAAGATTTATACAGTAAAAATTACAAATAAATACATACACTTGGTAAAAAAATTAATAGATTAAGCTGTATAATACAATATGTCATAAGTAAATAATATATCAGAGAGAATATTGGATTCGACTGTGTGAGTAAGAAGTGATCAAAAAAATTCCCTCCAATATGGCTGAATTGTATAACTCTTAATTTAACAATAAAAAATATATTTATAAGATGTTTAGATTATAGAAAAAAAAACCGTATTTACAGCAAAGAAGCTCAAAAGTGATTCCGAAAATGGGAAACATTAATATATTGTTGTAACACATTATATATTTACTGAATACCTTCTAACCAGTCTTTAATCGGTTCTAGAACTATGTCTTGAGACGAGGAAATCACTTCTGCAAACTCAACTGCCATCTGACAATGAGTAAATTCAAAATGTTTCTTCTTTTTCCCCAACAGAGTCTTATTCTTTTTTCCATCAATGCTCTCCAACTGATTTGACTTTGTTAACCTCAATGTATCCCTAAAACACAATACATAATAAGTAACCAGTGTTGGGTAGTAACGTAACGCAAATTACTGTAACGAAATTACTTTTGCAATAACGCTGTAGTACTTTCATTATATTTTATTTAAATTAACGGCAGTAGATAACTTGTTATTTTACCTGTTATTAAAATAAGTTATGAACGTAGAGCGTGTGATAACAACTAGGAAGCTAGGATATTCGAAAAAAATTAAAAACCAATACAATTTAATTACGATTACGGAATTTTTAGATGGGTAATAATTAGGGGCCGGAATGATATTGTTTGTATATTTTTTTTTGTGTCTGCAGTCAGACGGGGGTTCGAAATCTTTAAAAATCATGAAACAAGTGAGTTAATGGCAAAAGTTTTTTTTGTATATTTGGGAATATTTCAAGATAAAAGAATATTTTGTATAATAAAGAATATATCGATTAATTTTTGTGGATGTTCAATATTTTTTGCTGCAGTAAAAGAAAATAAAAATTTAATAAATAAAATAAATTAGGACATATAATAACATTTTAACCGACCGTTGTACAAATTTAATATGACACCAGAGCACGTGGAACAAAATATAGTTGTCAACTGTTTTCAAAAATTGTTAAAAATTTTAAAAAAAAAAGATCAGTCCGCCCCTGTGTATAAGGTACCTATTTATATCAGATTTTTGCATTGTTTTGCATATTATGTATTTATTTATATCAGATTGTATTATTTGCTTAATTATTTTGCATGCATATTTTTAGTTTAAGAGAACATTTCAATAAAAAAGCATATTTTTTTGCATATCTTATCATAAATTTTAAAGAATATTGGAAGAATGTTTTCAACACTATAAGAGAATATTAGTATCTTATTTTGGCTATTTTAAAAGAAAATTATTACCTTTTAAAAATCCCAGGAATTAATATTCATACAATTTATATAATAATTAATAGTATACCTACTACTCATTAGTCATTATGGACGGATTTTGTAATTAAGTTTTGAAAAAGTAAATTTATCTGTAACGCCCTACATTTTGAATATAAAAATAATGTAATGTGATAAAAATAATGTTGGGTAACGCAAATGTAATTTAAACAAAAATATTTAATGTAACAAGTAACATATATGTATTACTTTTCAAAAGTAATTTACCGAACACCGCATTAAACTACAAAGCTAACAATTCCGAATACGTACAGTTCTTTTTCGAGCAATGTCTTGATTACTTCTGATCCCTTGGCCAATACTTTGTCTTGTTTGTTACACAGTATTATAATTTTAGTCTTGTTGGTTTGAATCGTTACATCAGTTAAAATTCTGTACAATAACCTGTAAATAAATTAATATTATTTAAAAGTACCTACCTATATATATTTATATTAGTTTTCAAACTTACTCGGCCACATCACAAATGTCAGTTTGAACAGTTTCTGAATCCACAACAAACATAACACCTTTACAACTTATTTTGTAAGCATCCCAATATTTTGTGAACACTCTTTCGTGACCTGGAATGTCGACTAGGCGCAACAAGTTCTAAAAAACAATACATTACAATAAGTCATAGTTGAGCTATATGCTATTGGTGACATAATATATCGGAATTCTACATACCTTTTTGCTTTTAAACTCGCCTATGTTTTCCACTTGAGACGTGAAAGATTGTACTGGTTTATTGTACAATAAGTGTGAAAATAGAGCCGTCTTACCCGAATCGCACAATCCCACGAGCAGTACATCACGGTTGGTCTTGCGACTCTTTTTCCACAGAACAAATAGTACTGAAAACGAAAAACAACTGGTAATTATAAACTACTGAACACCTATCGAGTACAATTGGCTCCTGGATGATTTTCGAAGAAAATCGTCACTCACCGACAGTAAAGAGCAGAACGAGCAAGGCAACCAGTAGCTCTCTAGTGAGAAAATAATCGTTTCCCGGAGCTTTAGCCACATTCAGAGACATAATCGACGACGTGCGTGAGATAGTCGGATAATTAATACACGAAAACAATGCCAAAACTTGAAATCCGTCGAAATTCGAAAAAATTGAAAAAACAACGATAGAACTTACGACGAACGTAATCACTTTTTCGTATCGGTCTGGAGTGTTATCAGGTAACCGTACGTCACCGATACGTCGTGTGCTCGCGTGTTCGGGGTTTTGATAACGGCTCAGACACCAGCTGATTACATATTGGCGGGACGGTATTTGAACTTTGACTTTTTGAGTGAGAATTAATTATAGTGAAAGTCGAAAACCGGAAAACGCATACAATATTTAGTGTGACTATTTGTCCCGTTTTTCAGAGGTGCGTCCCGAATTTAGGGAAATTAAATATGTGTTATTTCTGCCGGTTTCCAATAATGCATCGATAAGTCATTTTAACATTTTTTTCGTGTGCATTTTTAAAAGATTTTTTGGTCATTAAGTTCCGGCCCTATTTACAACTGTAAACGAATCACGAGAATTATTGCACAAAATGTAATGTAAAATAATATTACAATTTAAAACAAAATATCAATTATCAACTGAACAACTCAGTAGCGAATCCAGGAGTCACCCAAGGGGGGCGAATTTTCAAAAATTAAATTGTCTTTTTGTTTAGCCAAATTATAATAGAAAATAACGTTAAAAAGGCAACCCACGGGGGGGACGCCCCTTTCCCCCTCGTATTCGCCACTGGAACAACTTCAAAAATTAATATCACATATCTGAAATGTTTGATAACGTTAATCATGCGACTAAAATTTGCCACCGACTTTTTACCAGTCGACAAATATTAAATATTAAATTGTACCTAGGTCAAATGTTATTCGTTTGACTAAAGTCATACCACAAATATAAAATTAATTTAAAAAAATACAAAATAAATAAATATTCAAGAATACCAAATATTTATTTTTATGCGATAAAATTTTATCGCATGCGACAAAGTCGGTAAAATACGATTGAGAACGTTATTTTTGGTAACACGATTGAGAACGATTGATATTTAATTTATTTTCCATTTTCCAACTTTGCCAAATTTAATCGAACAATCATTTGAGCATCATATTTATTATTTAATGATGATTATCCTTATTATGAACATTTTATGAACTCAGAAACTACTTGTAAGAATTTTGATTTAGATACATCAACATTTTATTGAGAATCACCCCCTAAATAAGGGGATTTACATTTGAAAAATGAAAGTTTGTAACGCCATAGGACACTCCTTGAGTAGTACAAAATTATCAGGAATTTGAAAATATGGTCTTCAGGTATACTTAAAAATTCTAAAAATCAGAATAAATGGAGGTGAGCATATGTTTAAAAAATCATTCTGTATGTTATTATATATTTTTTTTATAAGTTCTGCTATATATTATATTACATGTTTTATTCATATTATATATTAGGTGATTTATATTTTTATAAGATTATAATTATTAATTTATGACTTTTTTCAAGAATATTTATCTTATGTATAGTTATGTGGTATGCCCAAGTACCCTGAAGTTATGTAATAAATATAACACCGTAATATTACCTCGTATAATATTATATTTATTAAAGGCGCCACATATATTGTACAAAACAATAACACACTAATATGCGCTACGCACACGATATAAAACTTAGAAAATAAGATAAATATGTATATAATAAAGAGCGGAACGTTCGCACAATTTTTGTGACTGCACGGCGGCGGACGCGGAACAACTAACTAGAATAATAATTAATAATTAATACAAAAATATAAATAATATGATTAATACTGTCTTTACGATACGCGACGAGCAACGGTCGTCATTCGCGACAACTTAATTAAAACTATATAATATATACCGGCATAGCCGTCCCAAGGGGGGGGGCAAATGGGGCAAGTGCCCTAGGGCGTCTAAAGTATTATGAATTTAGGGGGCGTACTAGAAATGGATGATAAAAAGAAAAATTTGGTGTTCTTATTTTAGGTATTATTTTTTTGTTTATACTGTAATATCAAAGATGAGTATCTATCAAATTGTATACTATTAAGTAGGTATACAATTATGTAAATAATGTGTTAAATCTTAATGCGACATAACTTCAATAATAATATATTGAATATTCATAAAAACAAATAAAAATATTAATACTTATAATTTATAAGATTATTAAGATTACAATAGTAATTTATTTAAGCACATGAAATATATTTTAAATATGTATATACATCATTACAATAATTAAGTAATATACTGTATACTATATTGTAATATACTTATAAACTAAACTAATTCATATCTTTGGTACCTAGTAGTACCTTTTTTTATTTTTGTGTCTGTCATCACGTTTTAGGACAGTAAAAGTGCTTGGATTTTCTTCAACAGTATCTTTTCTTATAGGAAAGTGAATCTAGTTGGTACTTTGGGAGTGGGGGGGGGTCGAAATTTCCCAGTAGTTTTCACAAGCACCGGGAAAAAACAACATAAAAATTAAGGAAAAACGGGAATTTTTACGCAAAATCTGTTTTCCAAAAAATCGATTTTGATTTTTGGTGTAACTCTAAAAGAAATGAACGTATATACAAGAAATTTTCACTGGTTGTTTATATTTACATTTTGTATACACGATAACATTTTCAAAATATTTTGATTAATTTTGAACTGTTTAGGGACATTTTCATTTTCCATTTTTTTTTAGTTTTTTTTTTTAAAAATATCAATAAAATTGTATTTGTTGGTTAAAAAAGCTTGAAAATTAAATAGAGGGCTATTAGTATATTGTTTCAAAGGCAAATGAAAAATATTAAAAATCCTTAGTCGCAATTATTTTTATAAGCATTTAATATTCAAAAATTGACAAAATATGGAAAAATCACGAAAATTAGCAAATCATTTTGAGTTAAGAATTCGTAAAAATTTTTCTTTTTAAATCTAAGATTTGAAAATGTAATACAAGATTCCTTATAAGATTATCTACCTTTATCAAAAAAAAAAATGTCTATAAGAAAGTCAAATTAAATTTTTATGAGCGTTCGAAATCCGTAATATTTAAGTATAAACGAACAATTTCAAAATGTTTTAACTTAATGGATTTTTTTAAATCAACTGAGAATAGCTAAGTTATTTCAATTGTAAATTAAACTATTTAAGTTCATAAGTTGATTAGAAAATAAACTAACTAGTTAAGTTAAAAAGTTAAAAAAAATTAACTTTTTAACTGAACTTTAACTTTTCAACTAGTTAATGCCCACCTTTGAATTTTATAATCACTTATATTCCACTTGTGCAATTTACAATGTTGATTGTTATACTACACTGTTATTACACACGCAGAAACGCAGAATGTATGATTTATAATGAAATCTAGGTACTAATTTGTGAAAATAGTTATATATATTTTCTTTCTGTAATGTTTGAGTGTTCCCAGAATAATGAAATCGGTGTTCAAATATAAACAAAATAAATATGATCCCAATAATAATATTTAAAAAAATAAGTAGGAACCTTTAATTAATAAGTATTAAACATATTTAAGGTATGTGGTTAATTATAAGCTAAAAATGCGAAGTCGAGATTTTTTGGTGGGAGGGTGAAGGGCGTCAAATATTGTTGCCCTAGGGCGTTATTGGTGGTTAGAGCGGCACTGTATACCGGGGTGAGCAACAGTCACGCAACCGATTTGTAAAAAATGACTCAAAATATAAAAGGTTGTTTAACTTTATTATATAAACAAAAACAAATATATAGAGCTTAATTTATACTATATTTTTAATTTATACATGTTGTGTGTTCAATATGACCACCGTCTTCATCAATACACACTAAACAACGCTTTCGGACCGTTTGGCAGATGCGTTCTAGAAGAGCTTTGTCGTCACTGATCACATCAAGTTCTGAAGCTGATCCAGAATTTTTTCGTACTATGCTTTGGAGCGACGAAGCTTTTTTTAAACTAAACGGGCGTATAAACCGACATAATTGCGTTTGCTTGGCGTTTGAGAACCCGAATTTAGTTCTACAACATGTACTAAATGTCCCGGGAATCATGGTTTGGGCTGGAATTTGCGCCCACACGATCGTTGGGTAGTATTTTTTTGAAAACGAAAAAGTAAATGATACGACGTACTTAGACATGCTGCAAAATCTTAAAATTGAACTTGCAGAAAGTCCAGTGTTTGCCGGTCATCAAATGACATTGCAACAGGATGGCGCACCTGCGCATTTCTCAGTCCAAGTACGAACGTTTCTCAATGAAAACTTTCCTGGATGGATCGGACGCCGCGGAATAGTTGACTGGCCACAACGGTCGCCGGACCTTACACCCTGTGATTTTGCCTTATGGGGCATACTGAAAGACAGAGTATTCGCCCGTCGGCCACGTTCCATCGAAATTTTGAAAGCAGTCATCACGGAAGAACTTGATGTGATCAGTGACGACAAAGCTCTTCTAGAACGTATCTGCCAAACGGTCCGAAAGCGTTGTTTAGCGTGTATTGATGAAGACGGTGGTCATATTGAACATACAACATGTATAAATTAAAAATATAGTATAAATTAAGCTCTATATATTGGTTTTTGTTCATATAATAAAGTTAAACAACCTTTTATATTTTGCGTCATTTTTTACAAATCGGTTGCGTGACTTTTGCTCACCCCGGTACATAAACATTATGCAACGGATACGTTAATGATGTTACATAATCAAAAGATTACAACTACAATAAGATATAATATAAATAATAATAATCATACCAATTCCCCACACTACCCCCCTTTTAACGATAGTGTTACCGAAACCTGACTGGAAGTTTGATCGCTCGTCCGAACCTGGTGTGGGTGGAGGTAGCCTGTGCCTCGGTCGATGTATCTGGTGTCGGAACGTGTTGATGTTGTTTGATTGGGACCTTCTCTCTCTCTTTACTGATCAACTCATCCTCTGGAACTGTCTCGAAACACGGTTTCAATCTGTCGATTGTAATGTTGACTGTTTTTCCTTTTATGCGTAAAACATAATTTTTTTCAGCTCGATATTACTTCGTACGGCCCGTCGTAAGGCCTTTCGAGTGGAGACTTCACTCGGTCGACGCGTACACAAAATATTTTTTTGCAAATCTTATGTATTTATATACCTTTTTTTAAGTATCCCCCTTTAGGATAAAATATCTATACTATTGTCACACTAATAATATTGCAGTAATATACACTTATAAGTTTTACCTAATGGCTAATACCTACACATAATCTTACTATTTAGGCTATTAAGGTATTCAGTAAATATATAATGTGTTACAACAATATATTAATGTTTCCCATTTTCGGAATCACTTTTGAGCTTCTTTGCTGTAAATACGGTTTTTTTTTCTATAATCTATACATCTTATAAATATATTTTTTATTGTTAAATTAAGAGTTATACAATTCAGCCATATTGGAGGGAATTTTTTTGATCACTTCTTACTCACACAGTCGAATCCAATATTCTCTCTGATATATTATTTACTTATGACATATTGTATTATACAGCTTAATCTATTAATTTTTTTACCAAGTGTATGTATTTATTTGTAATTTTTACTGTATAAATCTTTCAATGTTATTAAATTCAGTACTAAGATTTTTAACTTTAATGACATATAAAAATTGTACATAAAATGCATAAATTATATAATCTAAATTTTGTAGAATCCATCAACCGTAGTCGTATGTGGTCCACATAATACAATTTATAAGAGGACAATGATTTATAACATTAGAAACTATAGACTGTCAAATTCTGAAAATCTTTAAAATTGTTATCTAAAAGTTAAACATTGGAAAAAATGTATGGTAGCAGCAATTCTTGCAGCTGTCTCCACCGCACAAACGTGGAGCAGCATTACTATGGCAAAATTTAATGTAATTTTACTCTGTTTATTAGCGCTAAAACAATACGAGGTCCTACGTAAATAAAAATTGAATACACCACATATAAATTACTACACTTCATTTATTGTTAAACATCTTCGGTACATAGTATAAAGTATATATTAAGTCAAAAACGACTAGTTTTCAGGAAGATTAAACAAAACATTGAAAAATTGTTGACAATAATGTCTGGGCTGAAAATTAATTCAATGTATCAACTTTTAGGTTAACTATTATGCAGAACAGTTCTTCATTATTTTATAGTGTCTTAAGATAGTTGGTTTTTATTTTATATGACTTATGCTATCAAGGCATGCATTTAAAATCATCACTAACTTGACTTAAGATATTAAGACCATTTTACAGTTATTTCTGTCAGATTCTCAAATCTTAACTAGACAGACGTGTTTTTGTACCCGATATAATATAATTTGACTTAATATGTTCAGACCAAAACAAATTTCACTAATAGTGAGTTATAGTTTTGACTTACGTGATCTGTACCAATAAAATATAAAAATGTTTGATTCTAATAATATAATAAGCTAAAATTTTTGACTTAAGACATTTATACCATGCACCAGACATATTTGTACATGCGTCATGCGTACACCGCCGGATAGACTATGAGTATATTATATTATACCTATGAGTATCAATTTAATTTACACTTATATAAATAAATTATATATCTAATACATTTATGAAGCTCGAGCAAAAAACTTGAATATTTAATACAACAGTCAACAACTAGTAAGTATAATTAAACAACTTATGAGGAATATTGTATTAAATTTTCAAGTATTTTGGTTAATGGGGTGTCACCAATGGGTGACTTCCCCCCTCCCATAAATCATCCTCATCAAATTTACTCATTGTAATATAATATATTGTAATTACAGATCGTATATAAAATTTTGTTCAATACAAAAAAGTAGCTTAAAAAAAAAGTATTTTGACAGTGCGAACATTTTTTTTATCGACAATTGTTACAAAAGAGACATTTTGTCATGCCTGTAAATAACTCAAAAAGAGTCTAAATATTTTAAAATTTTATCATGTATGGAAAATAGTCATAATTATTTGGTAAACATTTTAAGGATCTACGGTATTAGTTTTTGAGTTACACCAATTTTGTTGAAAACTGGTTTTGTGTATAAATCCCAATTTTTCCTACATTTTTTTCTGATGGGAATTTTTACTTTTGACACTCCAATGTACCAACCTAGAGCTACAACAGTCTATAAGTAAATGGTATTGAATTTTTATTGGTTGTGTATAAAACAATAAGATTATACTTTTATGTCGAAACTTTGTTGATCGCAAAATATGTTGACGTGTGACTGCACGTATGCACGTAATTGATTTCTAAAAATCTTAACAGTAGCTTATTTATGTTTACATAAACCGATCAGGGAACTCACGCACACTAATGATCAGTCACTACAAACACAGTGACTCATCACTAATGATGAATAAATAGAATATTTCCTAAATCTAACACCTTAAAATTTTAATTTACATAGTGTTAACTTATATTATAATAAACAAAGATACATATTGGTTGTCAGACATCTGTCGTACAAAACATGTCACAGTATCCCATATTATATAAAAATAATTGTTTCAGTAATTAATATAAGTAGTTATAATAATTAGTTATAAGTAGAATCATATAATAACATATTATACCCGAACATCAAAATAAAAAATAACCTTTGTGTATAATGAATTTTTATAAACAATCTTTTAAAAAAAAGTTTAACCTTTGCGCATATTTGTTATACGAAATACAAAAATTACTAAATTTAGTTATCCCAGAGTTCCATTTCTTTCATTTTAATCTGGAAAAGTTTTTCCAATTCAACTGCACAGTTTGCCCAATATGAATGCTCTGGATTAAATGTTTTACAATTGGTAACAATTCGTCTCATATCAGCAATAAACAATTTTCTAGACGAATAGTAGCCTGAAGCCAATCGCTTACCAATTGTACTCAAGTCTGTAAATCAAATAGACTGATTAATTTAAGTTAATAAGAAAATTAAATCCTCATAGAGCAACAGTGACGTATTATTTTGATAAGTAAAATTAATAATTATGCATTGTTCGTTTGCATTAATATATTGATAGTTTATTTTTTTTAATAAAATAGTGAATTGGTAAAAATAGTTTTAAACTGACACATATATTAACAATGATGAATTGTTGTACATTTTAAAATGTACTCTTACATTATTACAATTATTATTTTAATTTATTGTATCACTTAAATAATGAATCACTGTTATATAATTAAATAATTTTCAATAATTCAGAGAATAGAATTCTATTTTTTTTTTTTTTTTTTTTTATACTTACCCATAGGATACTTTATAATATCATAGTAACCAGGAACATCTTTATCAACTGGATTCAAAAATGGTTCAGAAAATTCGTTGCTTTTTATCTAAAAAAAAAATTAACGGTATAAACTATAAAGTAAACTAAATAGAAAAATAATTGATATCCACTATAAATAAAAAGGGATAAATAAACTATTATTATTATTATATTTTTATGCATAAAAATATGTTTGCATAAACTTAGATTTTAAAGAATAATATTTTATGATTAACAATCTATTAATAACACAATTTTAAAAGAGCGCACTATTTGTTTTCTCTTACTGGTCAACGTACAACAACATACCATACAAATACATTTTTTCGAGTAATTTTACAGTAAAATGACTTGCCACAAAAATTATAAAATTTTTTAAGATTTTGACATAATATGTATCATTCATTTATGTATTGTCTCAAAATAATGTAATATCCATTTCAATAAAATTTTTTTTTTGGTCAAATAATAATAAACCGATATGTCAAACCCTCAAAAATATTATTCGATATAACTTGTGTAATTGGTACATTTAGTTTACTTTAATATTATTCAACTACTATACAAAACAATTTTATTTGAATGGGTTTTGTCTATGTTGAGCATGAGTCTGAAATAAAACAAGTTTTGCCCTGTCATCCTATTAATATTTTTTCTTTTTATATACTTACAAATTGCAAAACTTTTTTTAGCTGTTTAGTTAAGACGTCAATATCAGTTGTTTCTTCCTTGACACGACTATTTCTTGTAATCCGAGTTGATGGTGTCAAACCAGCATCCAAAACACCAGGTATTGATTCAATCGGGATCATGCGTACACCATCTAAGAAACATGTTAGGCCTGGGTTATGCTTTTCCATTTTCATTTTTTTTTCTTCCACAAGATTCTTAACTATCTATAAAAGTGTTTGCTTATTAGTTATTAATAAAATAAATATAAATGTAATTTATTTACTTCTTTTTGTAAACGTATCACTGATGTTAATTGAGTATAAACAATTTTTGGATTTAGTTCACAGTGCATCAATATTGCACCTTGATAATGTTTAATATATTTTTGATGTGTTTCATTCGATGCTCTTACATCTTGGCTAAACCCTTGTTTCTTAAAATATTCTGTGAAAATATTTTGAATAAGTTATAATAATCTGATATTATTTATCACAAGCCATACCAATTGCAAGTTGATCAGCGTAAGTAAGAAAATTAAGTATATTATGCTGAATATGATAATCCTTTAAATGATTCATTAGGTGTGTTCCATATCCATTTTCTTGTTGATCAACTTTGACTGCACAGAATACTATTTCTGTAAAACCTTGAGAGACAAATGGACAAAAACATATACCACCAATTGGAACCCCATTTTTCAACAAAGCTAATGTCTTGTGTTTCCTAATTTAAAAATATAAATATGTATTTATTATATTATTTACACATACAGCAAATTTTAGCTACAAATAATTGTTTCAACTTGTTCCAGAACTGTGTCGTTATATGTAAATCTGTTAAAATTGTCTAAATTATTTATTTACCTCTAAATGTATGAATCAATTGTTTATTAATTATAATTTTTTTTTAAAGTAATCAATACATATTAATTTCATGCACATTTTAACATTTAAAATTTAAATTAACATGGAAGTTTTCCATAGTTATCTTCGTACACAAACAAAACTTATAAACCAAAAAATTTAACATCTTCTTATAGGCCAATCAGTCTTCTTCCTACTTTGGGAAAAATATTTGAGAAAATTATCTTGAAAAGAATAAGACCAATAATAAAATCACATAATATAATACCTCACTCACAATTTGGTTTCAGAACTAATCATTCAACAATACACCAAATCCACTGTCTCACTGACAAAATAGCATCCTCACTTGAAAACAAAAAATACTGCCCTTGAGTTTTCCTAGATGTTGCGCAGGCGTTTGACCGCGTGTGGCACGATGGTCTGCTTTATAAGCTAAAAACTTTCCTCCCAGCACCTTACTATTTGTTAATCCGCTCTTATCTTCTCAACCAAACATTTTCAGTAAGACAAGGCACCTCAACCTCTCCATATTTTCCAGTATTTGCTGGAGTCCCGCAATGTAGCGATCTGTCCCCTGACCTGTTTAATATATATATACAAATCTGTTTTAGGTCCATTATGGACCTATGGCTCTCAAATTTGGGGTAGCACCAAACCGTCCCAACTACAAGCCATCCAAGTATTCCAGTCCATATCCCTTCGTCTCATAACATCTGCCCCATGGTACGTAACAAATAATACACTTCACAAGGACTTGAAAATACAAACTGTTGAACAACTAACTCAACAATACTACACTAAATTTCACAAAAAATTACATCTACATCAAAATCCTCTTATCTCCCACCTATCATCGCGTATACTTAATGACAATACCCCTCGACGACTTAAATGACGCTGGTGTCGTGATCTTTTTTGATTAAAAAAAATCAATAAATTATGTTTAATTTAAATCTGAAGGGTTCTATCATTGGATGGCCTCCCTTATCCTGCCATTCTGTTATTATATTATATTGTTTTGTTGTACATATATCACATTTACCTACTCATTATTAATACAGATTGTAAATTTTCTTAAATAAAAAAAAAAAATTTAAATAAATAAATAATAACATGCAATACTGTTTTTAAAAGTTATCTTACAATATTATTATTTTTGACTGACTATACTACCTACGAGTAATATATTCAGAGAACAAAATTAGCAAATCTGAAATAGGAAACTCCTGATTATTTAACAAGATTTTATAGATACCTAGATATCTTAGGCAACATATGAATAATAATAATAATTGTCATATTACCATTGAAATTGTAGTAAAAATAAATACTCACGTATCAAATACTATTCGAGTAATGTATCTAACTGGCATTCCTGGCAATTGAGTTCGAAACAAATTTCTTAATTGCATAAGCCACAACATAGTACTTTTTTCGACTCTTGCCTCTAACGAATTACCTATAATCACGCAGCGTATAATCCCATTATCTTCTTCTGTTCGAGCTTGATGACCGCGAGGTCCGGTTTCTAACCCATACTCCTAAATTATTTTTATGTTAGTTTCAATCACGGTATATTATAATACACCGTGGTATCAATAATAAAAATAAAAATTATTAAAGAAATTTATTGTGAACTTACAAATATTAAAATAAAACTATTAAACAATAAATTAAATAATTTAAGCGAACTATATTACTGGATGTTTTATGTTAATCAAGGGGTTATTTCTAACATTTAAAAATTATAAATTATTATGAAAACTAAGAAGATAACATTAATTAACGGATAGCAAAATTATATCTTCAAGGAAGCATACAAAATACAAATGTAAAAAGTTAAACAATATATATTGTATATTATTATTTATGTCAATATTATAAAAAGAATAAATAATTTAAATATTGAATATTTGTTTAGAACTAGATTTATAACTAAGAAACAAATAAATACTTATTATTATGGACATTAATATGGTCTAGAACTGTAAATTGTCTTGAAAATTTTCAAAAACTGAAATTTTTTTTTATATAGATTTTGTAATTATTAATTTTCATGTATAAAAATAAAATTGTAAAAACTTGAAAAATGTCATGTGAACATTTTAAAGAAAAAAAAATGGTTTGTGAAAATGCATTTTACAGCTCTAATCCGGTTAATATAGGTTATAATTATTTATGATAATGGTTACTTGAAGTACACTAAAAAAATAATTTCTTTAAATAACTAAAATTAGTTTTAAAATACAGTTTACCTTGGAGTAAGTGATAGGCCTAATTTGAACATTTTTTAGAACGTCTATAATTTTGTCTTCCGATAAAGCATCTTCAACACTATGTTTCTTATTTGGTTTCATTTTCATACCTCTAAAAAGTAAATTGAAATTTTAAAATTAGTAATGAGTTTAATAAAGTTATATTCAAATTCTTAACTATTAAGGCGAAGAGAGTGAACCGAAACATATTAAGTACCTAAGTAACTAACAATATAACATCAGTATAATTTTTTTATTTAAAGTTAATAATTACAAAAAAATTAGTGCCAATTATAGTTCTATTAAATTAAATATTTGTTTTTAACTTGTATCAGTTTTATAAAATCATACATACTCTTTCGGATGTTTATCTTTTTTTCTACAATCTCTATGTTCTGCTCCCTTAGTTTCATCTAGCCCGGAGTCCAAGGGATCTGAAGTGTTGGGGTTATCAATTTAAATTAAGTAATAGAAAGACTACACATATGAAAAAAGGTAATTTATTTACCAGTTAGAAGTGCTTTTTTTAGATCAAACTCTTTAAAATGCAAATCCCATATTGGTGAATGAACAGCATGCACTTCTTCTTCTAATAAATTCATATACCTAAGATTTAAAAAAAAATAATGTCATGTATTTCTAATTAATTATGTTTAAATAAGTTTTTTTATTAAATGTTTTATTTACTTGGGCAAATAACTCGTGTAAAAGTGTTTTTGATGGTTCGACCATTTTGAAGATGATGCATGACACCAGTCTGTTAAATGCATTCTAAAAGCTTTTAATGTATACTTAAGAATGTCTTGACCAAATATCAAACTCATTTTAAAGCTTGGTGCAATGGATTGAAGATATTTGGGTAGTAGACAAAATACTAAATATCTAAAACACAAAGCCAATATATTATTATAAAAATATAATAGGTTTTGTGTATACAAATATTGATACTTATTTATAACTACCTTTGATAATAGAATTCATAATTTTTCCTATGTTGTAATGTTTTACATTGCGGTAATTCCTTGGGAGAAATCCATTTCCAAAGATCATAATGTTTTGTTACAAATTTACTGACTTTTAAAGCAATTTTTAGTTGCTGAAACATGATATTTTTTATAATATTATAAACTTAGGTATTCAAATTAGGGCTGGTGGTATTTTAAATGTTGATACCGGTATCCAGTATTTGTTTACTACTGGTAATTATCGAAAATACCATACCTCGTTAATTGCTAAAAATACCATAACCCTCGGCATATTTATTAATGTTTCAAACTTTCCAAGCTAGGATAGGGCTATTGTATTATGTCATTACGATTATGTAAAAATAATAATTATAAATCTAGGTATGCGGTATTTTTGTTAACAACGGTAGTTAGAGATTCACGGTATACCAGTATTCTAAAATACCGAAAATACCAGATATCGGTAAATACTGCCAGCCCTAATTCAAATATTAGGTAAGTATTTTAAAATGAATACATATTATAATATTGAGTATTTTAATGTTAAACTTACAGAACTTTCATGACCAAACTTATACATATTAAAGTTCATTAAAGTTTTAACTATGTTTGGATCTTCAAATGGTGGAGTTCCAAATACTTTATCAAGTGTGATACTAGATCCGGGATAAACAAAATTTCGTAATTCCTAAAACATAAATAATTTAAATTAATTCCAGAAAGGTAAAAAAATGTGATAAGATTATAAACGTTACTTACACGATAAACTGCAGCATAGGTGTCTTCTTGCACATAATTTCTCTCTGAAATTGCGTTTTCCTTTTCTTGATTTATAGTGACTGATAAATTATCGAGATCAAATACTAATCTTAGTAAGGAGTTTAACTGTTCATCCGTGGCACTTTTGAAATGTGATACATGAGAAGCTAAAAAATAATATATAATAGTTATAACAAATTTTTAAAACTAATTAATGTTGACAATCATAATTTTAAACATAACGAAAAAGGAGCATGAGTAGTGCCTATTATTTTATAATAATATAATATACTACATATTTAATAAAACATTTAAATTGTCATGCTATTGGATTTTCTTTTATTCTATTATTCTTAAGCTATAAAATTGATACCATTGAACCATTGGCTAGTCACTATCATTATTCAATCAATAATAATTATATCATAGATAAATTCACAATAATATGTACTATGTAGGTATTATGTTCTATAAAAAGTAGTATTCAAATGTTATTTTTAACATTATACAAAAGTAATATTAGCTATAGAAAATACTATATATGATAATACGGCAGTGGCGTAGACATGATTTCTGAAAGGGGGGAAAAAACAACATAGCTAATGGGAGGAAAAAATTGGAAAATCCCCCACCCTCTCAAAACTTTTTACTAAGTTAATAAAAAGCCAATAGGGGGATCTTAGCATCTTACCTCCAGGCCCCCCTTGTCTACGCCACTGTAATACAGGACAACTAGTATCAAAAATCACGACACATGCACGCCTTCTGAACCTGTTATGAATGTTCTCTACAGGGGAGGATCTAGGTGAGGTTCAGGAGGTCAGCTGACTCACAGTTAATATTTTCAATCAGATTGGCCTCTTTTCAGATCTTGAGTAGTTGGACACTTGGATCCTCGAATAAACACACATACAGTATAAATTAATTTTTTTTTTTTTTGTTTGTTTGTAGGTTCTTGGTAGGGGGAGGAACGGTTAAAAACATGTTTCTTGTATGTGGTGTGGCAAGGATTCGTTGGAACTAGCAACGCCAGCCGTTGCGTGCACTCAGTGGGTATCCACAGTTGAGTGTACGCACTGCGCCACACCAAGCAACTTTTTTTTGTTTTATATACCTAGTAAGTACTCAAGAATAGATTTCTAATCTAGTTTTAATAAGAGACCCCTTGATATGTTCTGACCCACAGTTTCCTAACTCTGGATCCGTACCTGGTGTTCTATATATATATAGAATTGTAATATACAAATACAGTGCATAAGAGTATTTACAAGGGCTATGTCGTCTACCATTATCATTGTTTGTCCTGTATTGTCACAAATAGTATTTATTTATAGTTGGAGTAGCAGTTGAGTAATTAGAGTTTTATAATTGTATACAATTAATGTCAGTAATTGTTAAAATGTTTAGGAAATTTCCCCTTTTAGGTCATTTTTCTAGTGTCTATATAGAAAATTGCAGTAACTAGACTAAATACACTTTAACTATCTACCTAGTTAATTTTTAAACTTTTACTCACATAGAGGATGTTTACAGCCAGATTTTGTGCAAGTTGAAGTCATCAAACTTTTACCACTCCTACTTTGCCATCCGCTACATTGGCAAGTTGAAACCTAAAATTAAAGTAAAATATTGTAATATAAAATTACCTACTCCTCGAGAACTCGTTGACATCCCTTGTACAATAATTATTTAAGTAGGTACACACATTTTGATTCTTTCTAATTCTAATCAGTTTATAATTTATATAAGCACAATTTCAGAAGTAGGTATAAATAATTCTTAAATATTAGAAATAAATCAATAAATATTTATGTGCATGAACAATGTTTGACCAATCCAACAATTTATAAACTGCGTTCCAAGTGCAAAATTACTCAACGCAGAACACTGTAGGTAGGTGAAAGCTTCGGATGAAAACAATTCGAGAAGCGTTACACCACCGAGTTGGGTTGACACTTGACGTGGGAGGTGAGCTATATATTACCTGACAGGACGCTTTACTGGACAGCTTCACCAGCTTCTCGTGCCTGGACAATTTGCATTCCGACGCCTTGAAATCGATAATCGTTTGTGCGATCGGATCGTTCTCGGCGAAGTGGTCGGGCAACGACACGCCGGACGCGGACGACGTCGACGGCACACTTTTCTCGAGTTTCAGCGACTTGGACATGACGGCCACTTCGGATCACGTCGGACGGAAAGGCAAAGGCGTCGTCGCGGTATCCACTGAATCGTACCTATACGACAGTGAAAAACGATACTGCATCCGTTGTGTAGTCGAGATTTTGACCCGACCTGCGAACGACAAGCGGATCTTTACGACGATCGGACTCGGTACTACGACACAGGGGGAAAAATGGCAGTCATAGGCTGAGGAAAGGTCGCGCAGAGACAGCTCGTCCGTCGACCGTTTTTCGCGCCAACAAAATGTGCCATGTGGTCGCCGGCCGGCCGCGCGCAAAGTTGTTGAGTGGTGGAATCATGATTGCCAGGGAGGGTGGTGGCGGGGAGTGACACGGGCCGCGCGGGTATTCCCCGTGGGTTGGACGCCGAAAACGTATTTTGTGTTATTTTTAGAAAATTGATATTGGAATATTATTGGGAAAACAAATTAATACTGGCCTGCCATACTGATGGTTAGGCGGTTACCCCACCAGACCTGAGTAGGATAAACAATATTATCAGCCTCTATGTAATTTTCCGATATCCGTATACGTTTTACTTCAATTGAAGTGTATTTGAATGTATTTGATAATATATTTAGTAGAAATTGTACTTACCAAATACAACCATAGACCGATAAACTACCACACACCCCTGATTATTATATGGTTTTTCATTATTTTTTTGTACAGAAATTTTTTTTTGTCTTTTTAGGGCAATTTTTAAAATATTTTTTAGTTAAATTTCAAAAAAAAAAATTTAATATATTTTTTTAAATGTTTTTTTAGAAAAGTGTTTTAAAAAAAAAAATTTTTAAAGTAAATTTTTCTACTAAACGTTTAAAAAATATTTATGAAACAAATTTCGGACCTTTTCCGTTTATTCACTACCACTCTTTTTAGTAGCTATTCAGCATTGGTCTGTTTATTCACTACCGCGCCACTTTTTTGGTTTTTCAAAGTTGCAGTGATTACGCGTGTATCGGCACTCGTCGCTGCGCTCCTCGGCGCCGTCGCTCCGCTCCGCAAATTGAAAATATCCCCCGACTTGCTATGCAACACCACCACAAGTTGGTCACAGGTTAACCACCGTATATCCACTCTTAATAACTACCTTCGTTTTACAACGACTATTCAATTTAAATAGTGATATACGTATAACAATAGGTATTAAGAGTGGATATACGATGGTTAACCTGTGACCAACTTGTGGTAGTGTTGCATAGCAAGTCGGGGGATATTTTCAATTTGCGGAGCGGATAAATGATATCATGATTAATGATAATGATGATAATAATAATAATAATAGTTATGAAAATAATAAAATCAAAATATGGTACGAATTAAAAAAAATACTCCATGGCTTATAACTTTATAAGTCAAGAATACTATAGAGGATGGGTGATCGAACACTGATATTATTTAAATGATAATTTAGGAATTGTATTTTAATTTATAATCTTATGTTTTTCTTTAATTTTAAATTTTTAAAACTTCGGAACTTTATTGCTCCGGAACTAATTTATTAACCAATAACATTGTGATTTGTGGATAAAGCTGGGCTCAGCTCACAACTCGCGTCTGGTATCATAAAAATTATTAGGGCAATAGGTAATATGTGAAAATAATAAATTACAAAATTTCGGCCACATAAATGTGGCAACATCACATAAAATATTCTATGCTCAATCGTGTTGCTAAAAAGGTATAATATGCTCAATCGTTTTATGCTCAATCGTGCTTTACCGCTTTGCACACCCGTCATCGCCGACCTGGAGGTCCGGGTCCCAAAATGTCAACGGATTATTGTATTGTCATCCAAGACCAATGTTTATACCAATTTTCAGAATTTTTCATCGTCAAAAAGTGCCTCAAATCGAGCGCCCAAGATTTGATTACAGACAAACAGACGTGAAAGCGAACTTAAGAAAAGTGTTTAAAAAAAGAACACATTGTAAAACAAATATTCTTTTCTGTGCTCAAAATCTAAAAGGTTAATGAGGATCTATCCCCATATTTTCCGTGGGTAGGCCCCTTAGAGGGGAGCAATTTTTTTTCACCGGGGATTAGGAGGTGCCAATTTTTTTTTGCAAAATGGCGCAAAATGTCTAAATGTGGCACTGATTGTAATGACGTAAAAATACGATAAAATATAAAAACGACACCTGTCGATATTTAACAGTTATATTAAAATCTGATGTTAAAATTGTAAAATTACTCTATTACCTTCCTCCAGGTGTTCGAAGTGCTCTCCAGATCGTGTATTCGAGAATTAGATCAAACACACCTATTACAATATAATTTTATGTAAAAGCACATTATATTATAATGTAATAACTGCAATCAATATAAAATATTATATTAAATGCCTTACCTGATTCGCAGTTGTTTGTAGAACATGTTGTAGGAGTTTTAAGTGACACAATAGGTAATACTTCAAATAAACAAATTGAAATAAAGAACACACTAATCATAGCTTGTCATATAATAAGAAGTCCACTGTCAAGTTGTCTCTCGTCGAAATCGGTATTTAGATTTGAGAGGTTGTTACTCGGTGGCTGGTGCTCATGCGCTGGTTTAAGGGACGACAAGGATATGCTGACCAGAGAGTGGTAGTCGGCTTTATCAAAAGGTTAAATTTGAGCCTCGCCGCCTCGGAACCACATTATTCTTTGGCGGCAGATACACTTTATGCCTTTCCTTCTCTCTGGCAGTCTGGCGGCATATAATAAAGTCACACACCCTACATTTTACCGTCACAAGTGAGTGCCGATATCTTAATCCGTAGACATATTATTATCATATATAGATCGTCTCTTTTTGTCATCGATAATGGTTTTATTGGATCTGGATGTGACAGATTTCTACAAATGTCAGTCTGGCCGTTACTTATTATTCTGTAAGATTTTAGTTTATTTATTATAATGGTGTGTGAGAATATCGTTACAATATAATGTTATATTGTAATATGACAGTTGGATATTAAATATTAGTTTTAACGTAAGACACTAATTATTTCATAAACTTTGAACGTTTTATTTTACATCATTTTAAGTCATTAAAAACAACATTTTTTCAAAAACTAAAATATTTATAAGTTCTAGGAACTAGTTAATAAGCCACTTGTCCAAAATTGGATTTTTATAGATCGAATACTAAGAATAATTTAATAATATTATGTTAGATAATATTGAAATTAAAAATGTAATTTAAAAAAAAATTTGTAATTTATTTAAAGGAGTAAGCAACTTAAAAACTGATAACGATAAAAATTAAAAAAAATCCAAAAATGTTGCTTTGAAACAAATTGAAATTACGTGAAAGAGATATTAAATTTTGCAAAAACATTATTGTTTTCTGAAATAACTAGTGACGTCTTACGTAAAATGGATCACTCCGTATACCTACACGCTCCCGTTTTTCCTTAATCTATGTGGTTTTTCCCGGTGTCGCAGTAAAATCTTACCCCCGGATAATTGTACCGGGGGGGGGGGTAAGATTTTCCTAGGATAATTTTACCCCCGGTAAGATGTTCCTAGGTTATTTATACCCCCGGTAAAATTATCCTAGGATAATCATACCCCCTCGGGGGGTAAAAATATCCTAGGATAATCTTACCCCCCGGTAAGAATATCCTAGGCAAATTATACCGGGAGGGGGTAAGATTTTCCTAGGATAATTTTACCCCCGGTAAGATGTTCCTAGGTTATTTATACCCCCGGTAAAATTATCCTAGGATAATCATACCCCCTCGGGGGGTAAAAATATCCTAGGATAATCTTACCCCCCGGTAAGAATATCCTAGGCAAATTATACCGGGAGGGGGTAAGATTTTCCTAGTCATATTTTACCCCCGGTAAGAATATCCTAGGATAATCATACCTACATAGGGGGTAAAAATATCCTAGGATAAACTGACCCCCGGTAAGAATTACCTAGGATAATCTTACCCCCCCCCCCCGGTAAGAATTTCCCAGGAATATTATACCGTGAGGGGGGTATGATTTGCCTAGGATATTTTTACCCCCCGGTACAATATTCCTAGCACTGTATTAAGTTTAAAAATAGTGCAAACATTTTTTTTTTATTATTATTGAATTGTTTTTTAACGTTTATAACAATGATGAATAAATTTCATTACTTTTTGTGTTACACGCCTAGTAAATGAAATAAAAAATGAATGAATGCGTTCTACAAACATCTGAACTAGCGAACTATTCGAACTATCCTAAATACTAACCCTATCGTCAGTGGCGTAAACTGAGTGGTGCAAATGCAGCACTTGCACCACCACATCTAAAATGTGGTGGTGCAAAGGTATGTTTTTGCACCACCAGAAAATCATTGAAATATATAATATATAAAGAGGTACAAAATAGTTATTTTCGTGCATGTATTAGACATTATCATTTAAATTATTACCCTGTCTATATTCTAAAATATCGTACAACCCCCAAAAATAGTTAGATTATTATCTATGGTAACCACTATCCACAGAATTTTGTATTTTATAATGGCAGTATCATCACAGAATCACGATTAAAGATATTATATCTTTAATCGTGCACAGAATAGACGTAGGTATAATATGGTAAAATTATATTGCTATCAACATTCTACCGCCAAAATAGTGTGTTATCAATGGATCAATGTTCATTCAATTCTCAAAAGTCAAATGTCAGATGACAGCTAGATGTCGTATTGAATCAAATTTTAAAATTCTCTACAGGTTTCATAAGCGCCAGGAAAAACAACATAAAAATTAAGGAAAAACAGGAATTTTTACCCGAAATCGGTTTTCGACAAAATCGATTTTGGTTTTTGACCAAACAAATGAACATATACATATATAATTGAAATATTCACTGGTTGGGTAAAAAAGCTTGGAAGTTTAATACAAGGCTCCAACTATATTGTTACAATGACATTAGAAAATTATTAAAAATCCTTAGTCACAGTTTTTTTTATAAGCATTTAAAGTTCAAATCTTTACAAAATACAGAAAAAT